GCCCCGCGCATCCCGGCAACAGCCAGGAAAGTAGACGGGCCATGAGCCGAGCTCAAGCAGTGGCCCTGAGCTCTTGGGGTCGAAGTCACAGAGCTCGCGAGAGCATTAGAAGCTGTTGACCCATACGTTGCAGGGCGACAATCCGAAGGAAGTCGACGGCGTGCCTTGGGTTTGGTAAACTCAAAGCGGAGGTATCGCTCCACACACACGTCCACTTCCTTGTGGCTCAACTACAGGTTATGCAGTAAGGAAAGTTTTCGGTGCCGTTGCACCCATCGCTCAAAGAGCGCTTCGTCATCTGTCGAGCTGTCGCCAGGGGCGAGCACTACAGGTATTGTTCGCATTGCGGGTACACGAGAGCTACTCGTTGAGCACTTAGACGAGTGCGAAAAGTTTCCAACGGAGTTTCTTGTGGGACCACGAAACGAGCTCGAAGAGCTTTCCGTGTGGCAAGTTTATCATTCGTTCTGGCCGGGGGCCCGATGATGTGGACGCTTAACGATCGAGTTACCGTGTCCTTCGGTGTTAAGGCGGGATCCGCACGGCGGAAGCCATATTCCACACGAGGGTCAATGACCGACCGTGGACGGGCGCGCTTTAGAGCCGCCTTACGGGCAGCTTCAAGCTGCTGCCTCTGTTCTTCGTCGAGGTCATTGGTGATAACACTTAGTTCCTCAGTTGACGAGAAGTCAGGGAATTGATACGGGGTACGCAAGGCGCGAGCAAGGCTCGTATCATGCTGCTGGTGCAGCTCGCCTTCTTCGTCATTCCATGCGGGAAAAGAGGTGTCAGACTTATAGTCGACCACATCCTCAACGAGGCCACTCGGCACTGAAAGCGTGCGCGGAGCGCGACGTTTGTGCTCATCGAGCCTAGGATATACATCCCCCGGTGCCGCGGACGCACTGTCCGACATCGCACTGCGTGTGGGGGGCGAAGTTGGACTCTTCCCGTGCTCGCTGTCAGAACCAGCGAGACTTGGTGATTTTCGTGTCGTGGACACAGGACTCATTGAGCAACAAAATTGTTAAACTCCAACAAATTGGATTGCAGTGTCTAAAGGATACGCGAGCCTCTTGAGGCAATAATCGATTGGAACTGTAAATGTTCTCAATCTTAATGGGGGAGGGTGTA